TAGGTATCGGTACCCCATCACCGTTACCGAGACTGTGTTTAAGTGCCAGTGCCAGATACTGTATCACTAGATCTAACAACACTAGATCTAACTGTTCACTATGTGGCCACTCTCACTTCCTGCTCTAAAATGGGGTGTGGCTAAATAAGGCTCTGCCTATGGACTAAAACTCTTTGTGTTTCGGTAGTGAGATGAAAGCATATAAGTATTATTACACCTCATAGCAGAACACATCCTGTAAATGATGATTTTATATATATTTAGCTACATTTAATAATTAACTGTGGGACAGCAGTTCTACTTCAGTAGAATCGTCCATAAATTGCTTGATGCTTTTATGCGGAACTTACTGTAATATTTTACATGGTAAAAAGGGACGAGCTGCCAAGTGGGAACTCTAATTATTGTTCTTTGATTGAGTTTATATACTATAATTAACTTTCCACAACTTGTGCAACGTCCTCGTCTTCAATGATGACACTATTTTATATCAGAAACTAGGGTGCAGCCGTCACCACCCCCACATGAAGATGTCTCAAAATAACCCACGTCTTTGCCTCCACAAATGACAGGCTTTGTGGGCTGCAGATTGCTGTTGTGTCGACAAGCTGTGGCTTCGTGATGAAGCCGAGGGCCCCTAAAGCCGAGGGCGTTCTTCGTGCCTCTTATAGTGATTCTGCAAGTGCCACTATAAGTTGTTGTCTGTTCTTCTGGATGAAATACTGCTTTAACTTGTGATGCATATTTCTTTCATAACTACATTTAGGGGAGACTGGGGCACCTTGTCACACTTTTCATAAACTTTTATGTACAGTGGGATCAGAAGTCCAGAGTGTTAGAAAATGCATGACAAATGAAAGAGAAGTCTCCGGCGTATATTTTGCGTTCATATCTCATTTTAATAGACTTATAGTTTCCCCATCGGTGGGTAAGTTGTCACACTATGTGGGGTAAAGACCCACAACAAGTGAAGCTTCAGTTGCCTGCCAAAAAAATGAACCCAAAGAAACAGAGACCAAAATTCAAGAAAACTAAAATTCTCAGAAACAGAGCTTCAAATTTTAAAGGAAGAAGTGCAGATAAATAATAGGAAACTGTTTGATGAAGATGCTTTATGTTTTAATTAAGAAACAAAGTTTCTTCGTCAGAACATGTTTTACCATAAAAAAGATGTGTAAAAAATTATAACATCTTTAAATGAAAATTTTAAATGTAGGAATTATATTTCAGGATACAAGATTGAATTTTTCAATTCAATAACACTAATAATAATACTTGCAGTCAAAATTTGTACATTAATTAAACTTTAATATATGGTATTTTTTGTTACAATTTAAAATTAAATTAACATGCTGAAATTCTATTTAATATAACAAGCTATTTTAGCTTTTATTTTATCTCAGTAATTCCATTTACACAAGTGAAAATTTAATTTCAGCTATTATATAAATACTTAATTCTTGATATAAGGATTTAGGTTTGCCTATGCTAAAATTAGATATTAAATTTCTTCAAATAAAAATTCAGTTTTTACTTCAAAGAAATACATTTTACTAGTAAATGTGTCATTTTCACATTTGTAAATAGTACATTTGTTTGTAAAGTCAACTGAAAATTGAAAAATATTAAAAGTTGCAACTACTTGCAATAAAACCAATGCAAACGTACATGAAACATGAAAAATTAGTCTTTACTAATGTAGTTTCCATCTTCCAAGCCCAGTTTCCACTCACATGAGGAGGAATTGCCACAGAATTTGAGGCAGGAAGAAGAGGCTGTTGTAAATATATTGCCAGTTAAATCTACCAATCTGAAATCTTCTTCCTCCTCTGTACTGTTACAACAGCAGTTAGAAGATTTAATATTCTGCTCTGTCCAAACAGATCAAAACGTATCTTTTAAGCATATCAGTTAATCAGCTGAGTGCATGTGTGACTTGTTGCATGTGTGACTGAACATGTTTGGGAACATTGTAGGAAATATCACTGAATCCTCATCAGCTTCATACTGGGGAAAATCAGCACCAGAGCATTATTTTTTTCAGGATTGTGTTGTGTTATGAATCAGTACTACCATATTTAGATGACATAATAGTGCAGCCATGCCAGTAATCCTTGTTTTTGAATGAGCAAACGTCCACGCTATTTGCTCTTTCCGTCATGGTAAGTCTGGTGCTGCGTTTTATGCATCTGGCTCATTGTTGCTGTGGACATATGGACAAAAGGTGTGAATCTCTTGTTAGGATAGAAAGTCCCACAACACATCTCATACATAGAATTCCCACATTACTGCATGTTTAATTGGTTTATTGAATACAGCTGTATCACAGTCTATGACTCTTTTCTATTTCTTTCACGATTACTTAATTAAGCTTGATTTATTACTCAATTTAAAAAGTAAAATTACCTTTACCCTGTCAGTAAATTTGCGGTCATTGGCTTACAATTTGCTAGCCAGATGTGATCTCATAATGAGAAAACACGTCTAGGGACTTTTGGTGCTAGATAGCAAAGAAAACCGCCACAAACAAGAATACGCCCCCTCTAAATGCACCCCAAACATCCAGAGTGCAACTGATTCAGAATGCAATTGATAATAAGCTAGCTGACCAAATGTTATCATTAGCTAATGGAACTGTTTTTCCCTTCATGAGATCTACATGCTTATTTCAAGCTTTTTGGGGGTGGGGTTTCAGTCATGCTAACGTACCTTACATGCATGGGCTAATGACAGGCTTGTTGTCTAGTGGACAATGTTGACGGGTGCACAGTTGCCCTCTATTCAGAGCTATGTCTTCAAGAAGCCTTGAGCTGGTTTCAAAAAGCATCACACTAATAAGTCTACATTCCTTCCCATATTTAGCCCCAATGGTTCTCACTGTTGTTCCCAGGCTTTCTTGTTAACATTTGGCCCTGCGAGTCGAGCAATTTGCATGATGAAAATGCACCAAGGCTGCCAACTTTTGCATTTTTATTAGAGTGAGAGTTTTTGGAAGTGCAGGTATTTTTAAATGTCAGTTTACACAGCCACTAAACTTCACATATATCAATTTATATAAAGCCAATCGTTTCAAGTAAAATATAACCTATACAAATACAATTTGATATTCTGTCACATTATATTTAATTCTGTCACAATATTTAAGTCTATAGAGGAGTAAAGACTGAAGCTGGTAAGTTCTGTTCTTGTTCAGCATTGATCTTTTGTTGCCAGCTTTCAACTGAACTGGTCAGCCTGCTCTAATGAGGCACAGCCCAATTACAGAGAAAAAAAATGTAGACCAGTTAAAAAGAGTTAACGGTGACAAGCAATACAGCGGCGGCACCCACTTTTGTCACTGCCCCACCCAAAATGCTGCTCAAATGCTCAAATTTACTTTCAGTATTAAACTTTTATGGATAAATAAACCAAAAACACAAATTAACCCCTTAAAGGCCCAGCAGGCCCAAAGTTTTATTACACGCTTCTATAAACTAGGAAAAGCTGTCCCTGTAGTTGCTGAGTAATAAGCCCTACTATGTAATAAGCCTGGGATTTTAAGGGGTTAAATGACCTCAGAAAATATATATCATATCCAAATTCCATTTTAACACAGACCAACTAAAATCTTTTTAACAGATAACGGTAGCTAAGTGTGAGAGGTTTCCTAAGTACCAACACATCCAGCTACAGTCTAAGAGTCTGTGAGCAGTCTAAGAGGCTCCAGAGTCTAAGAGCTTCTCATCACTCTGGTAGGAGAAGTATGAGTTCCTAAACATTCTGGAGATGAATGTAGGGATAGATTTAAGGATTTAAGCATGAAGGTAGCTGAGCACAGCATAGCCCATAATATGAAATAAAAACAAATGCAAATTTGTTATGCATGTCAGGTCTCAGAACGAATTTAGACGCTGGCAGATAAAAACCCAAGGTAGAGCTTTCTTGAGGCTAAGGGATTCACAAAAAAATCGTGGTCCAAACAGTCCAAGGTCAAAACCAGAAAACAGGATATCCAGAACAGGAGAATCATTAAGAGAGGTCTAAATACACAGTCCAGGGTCAAACACGGAAATGCAAAAATTACAACGACAGACCAAAAGGGAAAAAACAGGTCAGGAAAAGGCGAAAAGGTCATACATGAGTAATCAACAATACAAGGAACACTCGATATGCAACTGGACATGTTGGCAATACTTTGCAATTGACTAAACTAAAGGCCAGGCTTATGTACTGCCTAACTGATTGCATGTAATGACAAACAGGTGAGACATTAGAACTCAGAGGGTGTGGAGCATAGAAAGGAGAAGCCATTGCCTGACGCAGAGGAGGAAGGAGACATAGGTTCCCCCAGACTCATGGGAGTTGTGGTGCTCTTTACAGTCCATGGATAGTACAGAATCTGCTGGTTGCAAGGAACAGACAGAAGGAGCGTCCTCAGCAATAGGTGTGACAATCTGAGTGGCATAACTGCAAGATGTAAATGCTAAATCACCAGCAGATTTAAAAAGATATAAGTTTTTTTTATTATGAACTCTTTTTTATTATGAACTTTAATGTTTTATGCTTTGGTTGACTGGTGAACTAGTGTCTCCTAATGCAGTTTTTCTACTGCTGTGTTTGAATGACGCTTAGCAAACACCTCAGTCAGTGCAATGTGATATTTTCTATCTAAGACGCACTTAATATGACAAAAGATGTGCGAGGAAGTATGGACATTTAATATGCGAAAGAGATCGAGGAACTGCATGTGAGAGAGCCTGAATGTCTGTCTGTAAGAGCCCACTCGCAAATTTGTCACACCCTTCCAAAACGGCAGCCCTAGCCCTACTTTTGGGGGCAGTACTGTCAAATTCTTCACCTGGTTGCATTTGTTCGCCATCAGTTTTAAAGCTAACAACCACCCAGTGAAATTGAGTAAGGATAGCCTACTTTTACTCTTTAGCTTGTAAGTAAGATAGATTTGCGCTCATGTTACATGTGTTGTAATGAAGGTCACTCTTGTTATTGATCATGTCCTTTAGGTCTGGTTCACAGCCATGAAGAACAGATTGAAAGTTGGCACATTCTTCTGGCCAGGATCAGATGTACTTATTAAAGGGAAATATCCAGATTTACATGAACAGTATGATGGGTGAGTATATTTTAATTAGCAATTAAAACAACAAGAAAAATCTGTATCAAGGTAAATCTGTTCAGCTGAAGGCAAAATATGTAAATAGATTGCAAAGACAGACTTTTCTTGTCCTTTCTGCTGTCATTTTAGGAAAGTCCCATTTGAGAAGAGGGTGACCACGATTTTGAAATGGTTAAGTTTGCCTGAAGGAGAAAGGTAATCGTCATTTGTGTTTTGCATGTGCATTTGATACATAAGTACATGATTTACAATACACTAAAGGCCCTGTTTCTGGAAGCCCTCTGTACTTTTAATATACATATCTTTTCACTTTCCTGCCTGCCATGTATAGTTAGAGAGAAGTAGCCCAAATGCAGTTCTTGTGCAGTTTAACATGAAATATTTTGCAATGTGATAGTTTGAATGGTAGCATCTGTGTCTTATAGTGATAATGAAATAAAATATATTTTAATCTGTAATTATTAAGTAAATTGCACCTTACTATTTATAAAAAATTGCTATATAGTAACCAAACATATGGTGCTTATATTCTCAACTATTTTAGGCCAGACTTTTACACCCTATATATGGACGAACCTGACAGCTCCGGTCACCGTTATGGACCAAAAAGCAGCCAGGTACATTTGCATGTAAAACAATTGCTATTGCTTTCCAAACTGTGCTCAAAATACTTTAGAAATTGCTAAAATATATTATTATTGGGAGACAAGTGAAAAACAAGCATTCAGACATTTTTGTTTTTGTTATTTAATAAACTTCCAGTGCTTATGCCCACTTCACATAATGGGCCAGATTCACAAAACACACTGTCAGATTTACCATGACATTAAGAGCAAGTAGTGTGACGGAAACACATTTGCTCATTCATAAACAATGATGACCGGCATGCCTGAACCACTCTAACAGTAATTTTCCCCACTGAGCTTTCCAACTACTGTCGTATGAGAAAAGGACTTGCTTGAGACAGATTTCAAATCGAATTCTTAATATATAATATTTAAAGATTTACTAGTTGAAATTGAATTTTTACATGTGAGTTTAATTGACCAAGATCAAGAAAAAATTGGAAATAAAAGCTTTTTGCGTGGCATGTATTTTGTGTCATTTGTCTTTGTAAAACAACAAAGAACAAAAATGTACTCAGAAGCATAAACATAGTTTTATGTTTCTTTTTGCAACCTTGTGATTCAATTTTGGTCCACTGCTCTTACCAAACTCTCTTAAATTCCCCAAGGTAATGAAGTCTTCCATAGATTTTTAATGGGATTCTACTTAGGAGATTGGCTAGGCCACGCAAGCAACTTCACCTTTTAGAAAGCAGTCTTGAGTCATTTTGGCTGTATGTTTGGGGTCATTGTGTTGTAGAAATCTGCATCTGTTACCCTTACTTGGCCGATAAGGCAAAATTCTGTATGTGTGGATATATACACTGGAAGTATATTAAATAACAGAAATAAAAGTGTCAGAATAACTGTTTGCCCTAACTATGTATGAACACTTAAATGTGTCAAATATCACACAGTGGACTGAATGACTGGCCCCCAAAATGATTATTCAGATTACCTTACACTTAGTAATAAATGTAGTTGCTGGCTAGCCAGCTAGTTAACTACCTCCAACAAGCTAATAGCAGCACAACATTCTGTAGCCCAGAATGTTGATGATGCTAGTTCATGTCTAAATAGATCAGTAGCCAAATCAGTAGCCAAATTCCCACTAAACTGACCATTTGACTGGCTGCATAGTAAGTATGTACACCGACAAGCCACTTCACTAAGAACACCTACCTCGTATCTACACTCTTTGCCTATTTTACCACCTCTATTTACCACATAGGAGCACTTTGTAATTCTACAGTTAAAGACTGTAGTCCATCTGTTTCTCTGCATTATTTATTAGCCAGCTTTTCCTCTGTTCTTCAATGGTCAGGACCCCCACAGGACCACCACAAAGCAGGTATTATTTGGGTGGTGGATCATTCTCAGCACTTCAGTGACACTGACATGGTGGTGGTGTGTTAGTGTGTGTTGTGCTGGTATGAGTGGATCAGACATAGCAGTGCTGCTGGAGTTTTTAAACACTTGCTGTCCACTCTAGCAGACACAGCTATCTTGTTGGTCCAGCTTATAGATGCAGTGAGACAGTAGCTCATCTGTTGCTGCACAGTTTGTGTTAATCATCCTCTAATACTTCATCAGTGGTCAAAAGACGCTGCCCACAGGACGCTATTGGCTGGATATTTTTGATTGGTGGACTGTTCTCAGTCCAGCAGTGATACTGAGATGGTTAAAATCTCCTGCAAAGTATGCAGAGAAACAGATGGACTACAGTCTGTAATTGTAGAACTAAAAAGCACACTTACAGTGGTGCTTAAAGGTTTGTGAAACCTTCAGAATTTTCTACATTTCTGCATAAATTTGACCTAAAACTTAATTGGATTTTCCTAAAAGTAGATAAAGAGAACCAAATTAAACAGAGGAAACAAAAATATTAGACTTGATGATTTTTTTGTTGAGGAAAATGATCCAATATTTCATTTCTGTGTGTGGCAAAAGTTTGTGAACCTTTAGGATTGGCAGATAATTTGAAGGTGAAATTAGTCAGTTGATAATCAATAGGATGGCATTCAGGTATGAGTGACCATCCTGTTTTATTTAACGAACAGGGATCTATCACAGCCTGATCTTCACAACACATGTTTGTGGCAATGTATCATGGCACGAACAAAGGTGACTTCTGAAGACCTCAGAAGAAGAGTTATTGATGCTCATCAGGCTGGAAAAGGTTACAAAACTGTCTCTAAAGATTTTGGACTCCACCAATCTACAGTCATACAGATGGTGTACAAATGGAGGAAATTTAAGACCATCGTTACGCTCCCCAGGAGTGGTCAATCAACAAAGATCATATCAAGAGCAAGGCGTGTAATAGTCTACAAGGTCAGCCAGCGTAACTTCTATGCAACTAAAGGCCTGTCTCACAATGGCTAATGTTAATGTTCATGAGTCCACCATCAGGAGAACACAGAACAACAATGGTGAGCATGGCAGGGCTGCAAGGAGAAAGCAACTGCTCTCGAAAAAGAACACTGCTGCCGTCTGCAGTTTGGTAAAGATCACATGGACAAGCCAGAAGGCTACTGGAATAATGTTTAATGGACGAATGAGAGCAAAATAGATCCTTTTGGTTTAAATGAGAAGCTTTATGTTTGGAGAAAGGAAAACACTGCATTCCAGCATAAAAACATTATTCCATCTGTGAAACACGGTGGTGGTAGTATCATGGTTTGGGCCTGTTTTGCTGCATCCGGAACAGGATGGCTTGCCATCATTGATGGAACAAACTCTGAATTATACCAGCGAATTCTAAAGGAAAATGTCAGGACATCTGTCAGTGAGCTGAAACTCAAGAGAACATGGGTCATGCAGCAAGACAATACCCCTAAGCACACAAGTTGCTCTTGCAAAGAACAGTTAGAGAAGAATAAAGTTAATGTTTTGGAATGGCCAAGTCAAAGTCCTGACCTTAATCCTTTAGAAATGTTGTGTAAGGACCTGAAGTAGGCAGTTCATTGGAGGAAAACCACCAACAGAGTTGAAGCAGTTTTGTGTGGAGGGGCTAAAATTCCACCAAGCCGATGTGCAGGACTAAGTAACAGTTAACAGAAACGCTTAGTTGCAGTTATTGCTGCACAAGGGGGGGTCACACCAGATACTGAAAGCAAAGATTTCCGTACTTTTGCCATTCACAAATATGTAATATTGAATCATTTTCCTTAATAAATAAATGACCATGTCTAATATTTTTGTGTCGTTTATTTAATTTGGTTCTCTTTATCTACGTTTTAGGTCAAATTTATGCAGAAATATAGAGGCATACTTAATGAAGTGTTCAGTTGGTATACTAGCACAGACGTTGAATTATTGATAAATAATTAATAAATGCAGTCCGGATACAGTCTATACTGTCTGAAGCTGTAAGGTCAAAATCAATAAAAATAGAACCCCCTGTGCAAAGACTGGAGGCCATTTAGACATGTTTCAGGTCCCAGTATATAAACACCCTCAACATTAATAAAGTAGCATTGTCCTCATACATGGGGTTGTCTCAGAGCATTGAAGCAATGTGAGGATGAAAGGGTTGTAATCAAAAAGTAATTTAGCTTTTATTCAACATCTGTTACAGTATTGTCGGTGTTGAATGATAGCTCTGTGAAGTCTTGAACTTCATGTGTGGAAAAAAGTCTTTGTTACATATGTGTATTGTGTTGTAGGTGATTAAAGCTCTAATGCGAGTTGACATGATGATGAGTTTGGTAATGGATGGCCTGAAGCAGAAAAAACTCCACAACTGCGTAAACCTGATTCTTCTCTCTGATCATGGTAATGTTGTTTTGCTTAATATTTATATTTTTATGTATGTTATTACATACACAGACCCGCACTTTATTAAGTACACCATTTTGTATCTAGGGCTGAAAGATTAAACATTTTTATATCAAAATTGCAATTTGCTTTTAGATTAATTCAACTAATCAGAAGCAACCAAACATCCATGTGCTGTGACATCACAACCACAAATAGCTGGCAGGTTGGCGCTGTGTTAAGCCTTAAAGCCTCAAGCCAGGAAAAATATATGCTGGTCTTCTTAGCCCAAAAAAGGCCTGTACCTCAATTTATAGAAAACAATTGCAATTTAAATCATAATCGCAATATTGGTAAAAAAAAAACAATCACAATTAGATAATTATCTAAAATCGTTCATCCCTACTTGTATCTACATTAATTGTCCATTTAATGAGCTCCACTTACCATACAGGAGCACTTTGTATTTCTACAATTACACACTGTAGTCACATCTGCTGCTGCATATTTTGTTAGCCCCCGTTTACCCTATTCTTCAGTGGCCCGGACCCCCACAGGACCACCATAAACCAGGTATTATTTGGGTGGTGGATCAGTCTCAGCACTGCAGTGACACTGACGTGGTGGTGGTGTGTTAGTGTGTGTTGTGTAGTGTCCTGTGGGCAGCGTCCTTTGACCACTGATGAAGGACTAGAGGATGACACACAAACTGTGCAGCAACAGATTAGCTGATGTCTCTCACTTTACATCTACAAGGTGGATTAACAAGGTAATTGTGTGTAATATAGTGGACAGTGGACAGGAAACAATTTTTAAAAACTCTACTCTAGCCATACTGGAAAGATTGATGTATATTTCATAGTCAGAAGTCAGTGTGGCCGACAGTACCTTGTCATGTCATGTCAGACTTTATAGGCCTCATTCATGAGTGACCTGGCTCAGATGAAATGGCTGATAAGTGCATGATTTACACATATGTTTTCATAAATACATTTGGAAATACTGTTTATGTAAACTTTTCCAAACATAGCTGAAGCTTAAGCTGAGTGGGACGTTTTTTAGATGTCCTTCCCCTATTTCCATGTAAGGTGTTTTAGTGATGCCCCAAAGGCAATGCTTTCCACATGGGTAGGCTTTTGCTAAGGGTTGAGTGAGCAGCTTAGTGAGTGAAAGCGTGTCCCAACAAGTAATACCAGTAGCTGAGGACCACCCGTCTGATTGTTAAGCATTCTTTTTCAATGATGCTATACTTTATGCAGGATCCTTTAAAAAAGTTCTGTAAGGTCTTAAAATAGATTTGAAAAATCAAAACAGATCAGTTGAGAATGTCACATTACATACATATTAAAATGGGGCAATTTTACTGTAATACTAATAGGCAAAGTAAAAATCTCAAAAAAACGTATTGTATGTATTTCCTCAGAGAGCAATGATGTATTTAGATATATCGGCCCTTTGCCCACTACAAACAGTGCACTTTGGCCTCAAGATAAAAAGTTTGGGAATCCCTGGATTACACTCAGTATTCAGTATCAGCTAATACTCAGTATTAGGGACTCATATATTCTCAGATTGGACAGAAGGGCAGGGAAGTGGAGAGAAAAATTGGGACCTCCCTAATTAAATTATTAGATGGTTCCTAAAGAACAGGTCATTTTATGTAGCAAACTAATTCAAAACAGTCCGCCAACCAAAATTACCCAGCCCGTCGTGGTTGTGTGGTCAGAAACTGACAGCTGATGGGCAAATAAAATGGACATTAATGCGAAATGGTATTATTTTTGTTTTGTTCAGGTCTTTGAAAGGTATCAAAAGCATTCAATCTGATTTTTAAAATTGTGCAGCACAGAGAGCTGCTGCTAATGTACAGTCCAGAGAGTCTCCTCCCTCCACCACTGGGGACAAAATGGCTCAACTGTCTTGTTAGAGAAAGTAAACATCAGGATATATATTACGTATTGAGAAGCCATATTGCCCAGCCCTGCTTCCACGTGAATGCAAGATCAGTTCATGCTAGTGGGCACACATTTTTATTACAGTGATCTGCATCAAATACAAGGGAACGCTACATTACAGTATGCTTTTCTCCTCTCCTAGCAGCATCTGCCTCTTTTAAAAATTGCCTCTTGACAGACTGTGCTTGCAGCTTGAGCAGGTTGTAACAACTGATGACAGTAGATGAGCAGTAAAAAAAAAAAAAATAGCGAAGCAGGACCACAGTTCTTTCCCAGACAACATAGCAGGCCAAGATCTGGAGTGAATGTTCTTAAGAAATACAAATACAAACAGGGTTTGGCTTTTCTGCTCGGAATCAAACAGTTGAATTTCTTTTGAGCTTGATTTCAGATATCTAAGCTCTCCATGCTGGTAGAGAGAACATAAACAAGACCAGGGAAGCATTAGGGCCTAACCTGATCATGCCTCCAGATTACCCCCTCCTGGTGCCAACTCATGCAAAACCACATCCACGCCTGTAACACAGATGTGTTGGATTATCATGGTTAATTTGTTTGTAAAATGCATGCTTTAATACTCTAATAGTACTAACAGTATACATCATAAAATGAGCAAGGAACTGACATAAAAATAGCAGACAAATCACATTCGTATCTTGTCCCTATCTCTGTCTTTTCTGTTGTTGCTTTGGATCTGGAAACCAGGAATGGAGGAAGCCTCGAATAAAAGAGCTGCTTACGTCTCGTCTTATCAGGACAACACTGATGACTTCATAGTCATTCAGGGCCCAGCGGCACGAGTGCGACCCAAACAGCTTCCTGAAGACTTCTTCACTTGTAAGTCCCTTCTGTAATGACCTTCTGGACAGTGTGTGGAAGTGTTTTCAGACATGTTTTTGTTTTTCAAAATACTTTCAGTGCATATATCCTATTCAGATTTACACACATAGGGCCAGGTTCATAAAACAGATTTTGAAAGTAGGTTTAGCTTGAGTAATTTGACAGGTTGAGATTTGAATTACATGTTCAAATCAATTTTATTGTAAACAGTTTTAGGGTTTAATCTTATTTTTCAATTTACAATGGATTTTACAAAGGAATTCAGTTTACACATGAAATCACTGACATTTTTACTAGTGAAAATTCATTTCTTAGAAGTAAAAAATGAATTTTTACTACTTGAAATTGAATTTTTCTAGTGGAATTTTAATTTTATGTGCAAGTTGAATTGAATATTTAAATATTTAGTATGAATTTTGTTAACATGTGTAAATTGAATTCCCTGAGATCAAGAAAAGAAGTAACAACTAAAACAGTAATTAGGATTTCAACTCAGAATTTTAGTACTATCTGTACTAGTAGTTAACAGCTATGTTAGAGCGCTATGCAGGTTCATGTGAAGTTGAAAATACTTCGGCCATGTCTCAGGGTAGCTAATAGGAAAGCAGTAGGTGTGTCTATCGCTATTCGAAAGGTTAGTTTTATCAGAAAGTGACAACAATTTTCACACCTGACCGGGGAGCGCTTCTCATATTGCAAGTAGTTTGAAAGCAGTTTGCTGCTAACATGACCAGCGAGCCCAGCAGTACTGCGTTCCGTGTGAAAGCAGCTTGAGTCGTCACTACCGGGGCACATATTTTCTGCCATAAAGTAATTTTTTTTGTGTTTTAATCAAAATATTATAAATTTATGTGGGTACAACTGTTTAAAGCTATGTTTGTTAGTCATATACTGGCTCTATCTTATCTAAAATTGCCAGTACTGAAACATTTTGTACAATTTAAGTAGTGTTGTAATTGTTTTGTTAGTGACAAAATGGAATGTTCAGTCATTTGTTTTCAACTTTGATTTTTAGCCAATTCAGTAGAATAACCCAGTTAACTTTTACATATATGTATTTTCAATACTGTGTCTGAATACTTTGTTTCAATATCAGTTTTGTTTTTTAAACATCTTTGTTTATGCTATAAATACATACTTTATTGGTCATATTTATAAGCAAAAAGTGAAACATTGTGTGTGTAAATTTGAAGTGGATATATGAGCTGGAAGTATATCAAATAAGAAAAACAAAAGTGTCTGAATAGTAGCCCCTCACTTTATGTGTAGGGGTGAGTGTGTAGAATGTGTTATTCGCATTTTTTATTAATTGTCTTTTCATTTTTTGCAGTCAATTATGAAGGACTGGTGAAGAATCTGTCGGTATGGATCTCCTCACACAGAGTTAATAGTCTTGTATTGGTCATAGTTGTTTCCCCTTCCGTTTCAGTTCTTTTTATTTTTTAATGTCCCCCCTCCATTTCAAGTGCAGAGCTCCGGATCAGCCGATGAAGCCCTATCTAAAGGAGCATCTACCCAAACGACTGCACTTTGCCAACAACATCCGAATAGAGAGAGCGCATCTCTACATGAAGGCTCAGTGGCAAGCAGCCCTGTGAGTATTCTTACTGCCCAATGACCAGGGTCATTTCTGTGTGGAGTTTGCCTGTTCTCCCCGTGTCTGCATGGGTTTCCTCCAGGTACTCTGGTTTCCTCCCACAGTCCAAAAACATGCAGTCAGGCTGATTGGACATGCTGAATTGCCCCTAGGTGTGAGTGTGTGTGTGTGACTGTGTATGTCTGTCTGTCTGCCCTGCGATGGACTGGCAACCTGTCCAGGGTGTATCCTGCCTTCCGCCCAGTGACAGCTGGGATAGGCTCCAGCACCCCACCGCGACCCAGAAGGTTAAGTGGTTTAGATGATGGATGGATGGATGGATTTAATTGCCTTTTCTTGTTCATTGTTTGCAACTATTAAAATATGTGCCAAATTGGCTGATTAGCCACCTAATTTGCTAACTATGCTTACTTAGCTGACACTGGTTGTACTGGCCAATTGATAGTGCATGCACACTCACACAAATGTCTACAGTTAGACAGAATCATGTGTAGATTAAAGCTTGACGAGAGTGTAGCTATAAGCAAAAAAAATGCTGAAATTCTGACAGCATACCTACTAAAAAGGTCTAAGTATGTCAAGGCAAAAGTTAGAACTTTTTTTTTCATAAGCCTCATGATGTCTCAATAAATGCATTACTGCTTTTTTTCATTTACACTTATTTGCCTCAACCCAGCGCACACAATTTATTTTGTTTGTTGCAGCATAATTGCCCTCGTAAAACAGGCGCATGCAAATTTCACAGACATTTCACAGATATTTCATCTTTGGCCTATCTTTACAATTAAACTAATGTCATGTTCCATGAAGTAGACTTAATACGGACATTCATTAAGAAAACCTAACCTTACCCAAACTTACCAAACCTAACCTCACTGCTTGTCCTTAAAATCCGCCTACGAGCACAGCCATTCTCTCATGAGCCATGGAATGCTGTTTTTTATTGGCTTCCTACCAAAACATCTGCATGAATTAGGCCTTGTTGCAAGTAAATGATATGTAAATGAGGTTCTGGTAGGTTGGTGCTTGATTTCAGGCACTAATGCTGATTTATCATTGGCGATCAAATTTTCAGTTGTTCCCACACTGTATGAAAGTTTAATGAATCAGACGCAGAGTAGTTTGTGCGTCATTAAAGGCGGTCAAATCTGCACCCTTTTTACGCAACTTTAATGAACAAGGAACGACATAACTGTGACATAACAACTGTAGAAAATGATTACAGTTAGCTTAAAAATATGTGATATGCTCAAATAATTACGATCATGTAAAATGATTTTGATTACACAATTATGTAATAGTTGTGACAGGCCTAGATTCTGATGCAAATTGAATGCAGTCTGCCCTTGTGTTTCATTTGAAATTGGCAAAGAAGCCAAAAAAGTGCAGCTTATGGTCAGTGTGCATCGTAAACACAACCTCATGCATTTGTGGGAGGGCCACTTAAAACATGGGGTGGTAGCAAAAATGTTCAAGCAGCTCATGATGGCCTGTTTTCTATCTATTTTTCTCCAGAGTTAGGCACAAATTAGTGTTGTGGTCCCAAAAGATGTGTTTTTCAGATACTTCCTTTAAAATGGCAGCAGACAGTGGCTAGACCCAAGTACAAGCCTCAAAAACATGCTGAAAGAATGTTTACCATCAGAATAACACTGTTAACGCTCTGGGGCCCAAAACATGCTGTGATGCAGCCACATGTCATCGTTACTGAGCTTTCATTTTCTGTTTTGTCTCCAGCTTGTTGACAGCTACATTAAATCAATGCCTTTTAACTCCTGTGCACTAGAAGGAAGCAGTGAGTATGTAGGGTTTATGTGTTTAACTGGCATCTTAGTAAATTTCACGTTCATTTCAGGTGCGCTGTGGGCACATATTATGGTCGCATCCTGGCACATTTTGTGCTTGTATGTAAATCTGGCCATCAGTGCTTCACTTAGAAGATTTTAGAGCATTTGAAAAGCTTATTTTTGCTTCATTATTTTTGCTTTATTGCTGACCACATAAAGCCCACAACTGATCTCTACTCAACAAAGTGTTCTTAATAAAGCAAGCATTCTTTTGTGTATACATTTTTTAAATTATTTTTTTAATTCATGCTCTCAACATAATAATGCAGATGATGCATCCAAGAGGACAAATTTCCTTTACAATTGCTTGCTCAATATTAAAGATTAAAAGTTGTAAAATTATGAAAACATATTACTTCATGGTTTCCCAAAGCCATCTAAAGCTGAATTCCAGTGCGTCTCCAAGAAAAGCACTGTGTTTTCTGAATATGTAAAGCCTGTGGATGTGGTGTTGGAACTCCTGTCTAGAAGTCTGAAGTTGCTGCAGCAGGGGGCACTGTTAGCACACAAGTCGCTTTAGTGTTTGCCAGTTAGAGAAGACAGCCATAAACTTCAGCAGTATTCAATGATTGTTTGTTTACACATTTACAACATTCAGAACATGAGGTAAAAAAAAAAGATTATTAGTTACTCTGAATTATTTGTGTTATTTCTGTTAAAAATCTATTAAATCAGTAAATGCTAGAAAGTATGTAAGGTAGAATGCGGCTGCAGAGGGCAATGTTTAAGTGATTCACTGTTGATCTGCTGCTGCTCAAACTGTTAGAACCTGTCTATACGGACCAGCGCAGAAGAGCCAAGAAAACTTTGTTTTCGTCACTATTCCTCATTTTCATTACCATTGAATTTATGTGTTAAGTGCTGGATTTTGACTTTCAGTGTAACCTATGTATTGTTTTGCTTTTTTCAACCAAAATTTTCTGCTTTTTTTCTCTTTCGCCCAGAACCTGAAAGTACTACTTTGGCCAAAATAGAAAAAAGGCAGAAACCTTTGGCCAAAAAAAGCAAAAGATTAAATAGACCTGCCCATCTTTTCATGTTCATCCATTCATGATGTTCTTCATTCCAAAACTGAACAGTCTTTGTGTCTTTTTACTGCAGAAAACCGACAGAAATCAAGTACAAGTTGGGTGGATTTCATGGTTCGGATAATACCTTCAAAAACATGCAGGTTGGTACAGTATTCATATTATCAAATAAGAAGAGATAACAACTCATTGATCACAAAATATCTAAGCTGCTGTGATGATATACTGTGAAATGCCTTTGCTTGCACGCTGCCTGAATTCCTCTGTAGTTTATCTGACCGGTACTCATTGTATTAAGGACATGAATGGACACATTGCATTAAGCCTAGGCTGATAATTCACTGTAGAAGAACCACGTTGGCAAATACAGACATCTGCTACAATGAACTATAATTAAAAGTCTGTGCTTTGGAAGTCAAAGATGAGTCAATCCCTTACAGAAGTCCGTAGCCTATATCAGCCACATTTACATCATTACTTCCACCCTGATGTCTAGACAAGAGTCACTCTTGTTTGTGTAATTCTTTCATTTCCTCCTACTCTCTAACAATTTGGTTAAAAAACATAGTAGCCTACAAGTAAGTAGCCTACTTTCACAATATTTGCCCTTTATTAGCATTGACTCTGGCAAGTGGAAAGAAAAGTATCATTTATGGTATATACTGTTTAGAAATTTGCTCTGAAACATGCTCACCTGACCCAAATTTCTACTGTAATTTGTCCATTGGTTACAGTGAACTGGAAATGGGCTAACATAAGACAAGACTTAGCAATAAGTATGGTTAAATGAAATCGATTTTAATGTTGCTTGACTTTTTAATGGAAATCCGTGGCATGACCTGCAAGGCTCTGGGTGAGTTAGTGTGAAATAACCCTTACGCAAATTTTTTCTTGTGATTGTGCCCAAATAAATCACTTTTATTTTGAAGAAAACATGAATATCATGATGAGCGGGATGATCTTTCGTAAACTAGTGGAATGTTGTTCCAGCTGCCGACACCCTTACATAGACTGTTTAAATATTTGTGATACTTAATTTACACAGATCTGTACCAGACAACTATGATACTACTTCTCATGCTTTCACAACCACCTTGGTTAGACTGTAATCATTTTACTACCTTTAGAAAAGGGTCTTATTAGTGCCGTGTTCATCTAAACTAAAGCCATAGAGGTCATTTCGAGCATTTGAATTATACATGCTTATTTATACAAATTATACTTATAATACTAGTATATATAATAAATATATAGTACATATAGTACATACACACCCACACGCATACAGTTAAGGTCATAATTATTAGCCCTCTTTATTAAAATTGAACAAAACCCTTAGTTTTTCCAAGAAAATGACCAGTACCTAAAGTGTTCATAGTATAAATACTTCCAAAAGAACAAAGACAAAATGTCCACAAAGTTTGATGAAGCTATTTTACTGATGCACTGAGTTCAAACAAGAAAAAACAAAATGACAAGGCCAAAATTATTAGCTCTCTGACAATTAATAGTCAATCATGTAACCTTTCTGACTCACAACTGACAGCAACCTTTTACTGTAGTTCCTAACTAGGTTGGCACATGTCTTTAGAGTGATCCTAGCTCATTCCTCCATGGAAAATTGTTCCAGCTTATCCAAATTCCATGGTTTTCAAGCAAGGACCTTAACATTGAGCTCCTACCATAGATTCTTAAAAGGATTGAGATCTGGGCTCTGAGAGAGTCTCTTCAGGTCCTTGATTCTGATGTCCTTCGTAAAGCTTTGAACCAACTTGGATGTGTGCTTTGGGTCACTGTTTTGCTGAAAGACCCAACCTAAAGCCAGACTTGCTGTAGATTTCTTCACATATCCCTCAAAATGTCAACATGATCTTCTTTCTTCATGTTCCCATTACATGAACAAGGTTCCCTCTGCCTTAAGCAGCAAAACAGCCCCACAGCATTATGCACCCACCTCTGTGTTTATCTATGGGAATTATGTTTTTAGAGTTGAAGGCCTCACCCTTGCTTCGTCAAAGAAAAGCAACATCCATGTGCCTGAACAGCTCTGGTTTAGTCTCATCAGACCCAGACCACAGGACAGACTTCCAAAACTTATCCCTATTTCTCAAATGGGCAAACTTCAGTCTTGCTTGAATGTGCCGCTATGTGAGCAATGGAGTTTTCCTTGGACAATAACCTCAAAGCCCACCCTGATGAAAAGCCCTCACAACAGCCTTCTTTGAAACAAGTCCAGAAGAGGCCAATTCAGCAACAGACATCTTCACAGAGGTCTGGGGGTTCTTGTTGACATTTCTAATGACTTTCCTCTCCAAAGTTTTTGATATCTTGCCCAGGTTTTTAACAGAGTGTGTCTCCTTGTACTTTGCAATGATGCATTGTACAGCTGTTCTGGATACCGTGAAACGCTGGGAAAATTTACACTTTCACATTTCACATTTCACATTTTGGCGCTATTGATTTTGGACATAACTGTACATAAATATACAGTCGAGCACTTTATTAGGAACACTATACTAATACTGCATAGAGCCTCTCTTTCCTCTTAAAACAGCCTCAATACATCATGGCATGAATTCCACAAGATGTTGGAAACATTCCTTTGAGATGCTGGTCCATGTTGACTTGATAGCATCATGCAATTCCTACAGATGCACTTTCATGCGAATCTCCCGTTCTACCACATCACAAAAGTGTTCTGTTGGATTCAGATATAGTGTCTGGGAAAGCCCCTAAAGAGCATTTAACTCAATGTCATATTTATGAAACCAGTTTGAGATGACTTTTGCTTTGTGACTTGGTGCATTATGATGCTGGATGTAGCCATTAGAAGATGGGTAAATTGTGGCCATGAAGAGATGCACATGGTCAGCAACAATACTACTGTGACACTGAAGCGATGATTAGTATTAATGAGCCCAGAGTGTACCAAGAAAACATTCCCTACGCCATTACACCACCTCCACCAGCCTGGACTGTTGGCACAAGGCAGCGTTGGTCCACTGATTCTTGCTGTTGGTGACAAATTCTGACTCTACCATCTTTGTGCCTCAGCAGAAATTGAGACTTATCAGACCAGGCTACATTTTTCCAGTTTTCAGATGTGCAGTTTTGGTGAGCCTGTGCCCACTGCAGCCTCAGCTTTCTGTTCTTGGCTAAGTGGAACCCGACATGGTCTTTTGCTGTTGTAGCCCATCTGATATTTTCCACTCCTCCAATGTTTGGTCATAGAAGTTGGTTGCATTTTCTGCTTCACAATCCAAATAATCCCAAACACATTTGGTGATACTGAGGTCTGGACTCTGGTGTGGCTAGTCCATTATTCTGAGAACACCAACACCTTCTTTGTTTGGAAAATGGACAGAAACACCTGGGAATTATTTTGTTGCAAAAATAGACTAAGAAGCAACAGTTTATAAAAATAAAGTAATGAAATATAGAAAATAATAATGACCTGATATCCAAACAACTGCAGATTTATAGTTGCTGTTGGCTGGCTATTAGTTATATATTAGTTATATATATATATATATATATATATATATATATATATATATATATATATATAATTTTTCATGACACATGCAATTGTTAGTGTTCTAGAAGTACTGAAATCACAGAGGTGTACATATGTGTGGCTCTCTAGGCTTTATTAGGACACCAGCAGATTAAGGAAACCTGTTGTTTATTATTTTTGACTGGGTCGGATTTCTCTGGCTACATTTCCACCCAAAACACAAACAAACTTTTTTTTTAGCTTTCTTGTGGCTCTGTGCCATTTTCCACTCTCTCCAGTGAGACAGAGACAACCTCGCACATAAGCAGAGTGTCTTAACAACACTCAAGTGCAGGCTGTTACTCATGACCTGCTCTTTCACCCAGACCACCTCTCCATCTTCCAGCCCATGCTTAAACACACCCTGTGCTGCCTCAGGATTTACTGTATTATCATTCAAAATAAGACATAGAGTAAATACAACCAATACATTACTAAAATAAAGGTTGATAAGTAGTTCTTTTCTACAACCCCGTTTCCAAAAAGTTGGGACGTGGTGCAGAACGTAAATAAAAATAGAATGCAATGATCTGCAAATCATGTAAACCATATTTTTTAAGGAAAAATAAAACAAAGATAACAAATCTATTGTTGAAACTGAGAAATGTTATTGTTTTTTGAAAAATATGTGCCCATTTTGAATTTGCTGTAAACAATACATTCTAAAAAAGTTGGGATGGGGACACTTTTGTCACTGTGTTTCATCACCTCTTCTTTTAACAACACTGTAAGCGTTTGGGAACTGAGGAAACCGACTTCCGTAGTTTTGAAAGTGAAATGTTTTCCTGTTCTTGTTGATATAGGATTTCAGCTGCGCAACAGTTCAGGGTCTCCTTTGTCATATTTTTCATTTCATAATATGCCGAATGTTTTCAGTGGGTGACAGGTTTGGACTGCAGGCCGGTCAGTTTAGCACCCGGAGTCTTTGTAATACGTGCAGAATGTGGTTTGACATTGTCTTGCTGAAATAATCAAGGTGTTCGCTGAGAAAGACGTTGTCTGGATGGCAGCATATGTTGCCAAAATATGTATTTATCATTCAGCATTAATGATGCCTTCACAGATGTGCATGACACCCATGCCATGTGCACTATACCATCATGAATACTGGCCTTTGAACTGTACACTGATAACAAGCTGAGTGGTCTTTAGCCTAGAGGACACAGTGTCCATGATTTCCAAAAAAGAAAGACCACAGGACACTTTTCCACTTCCCCTCAGTCCATTTTAGATGAGCTCAGGCCCAGAGAAAGTGGCAGCATTCCTGGATCTTGTTTCTATATGGTTTCTTATTTGAGTTTTAGAGTTTTAACTTGCATTTGTGGATGCAGTGATGAACAAGTTTTCACAAACAGTGTTTTTCAGAAGTGTTTCTGACCCCATGCAGTAATTTCCACTACAGAATCATGTCTGTTTTTAATACGGTGCCATCTGAGGACCCAAAGATCACAGCCAGCAAATACTGTTTTTTGGCCTTGTCCCTTGCTTACAGAGATTTCTTCAGATTCTCTGAATCTTATAATGATATTATGTACCATAGATGATGAAAAGCAAAAGTTCTTTGCTATTTTATGTTGAGAAATGTTG